TTTCTTCCTTAATGATGGGTGGACCGCCATGAGCGGCAATGCATGGGGGGTCTAGGACTCCAGGTGGTTGCGGCAAAGACGGGATGCTGTTCCTTGTCTACCTTTATTTCTACCTTTATGTTTGTTCCTTGTCTCGTTCTAGGGGTGGACCGCCATGAGCGGCTATGCATGAGGGGTCTAGGACTCTATGGGGTGCGGCAAAAACGGGATGCTGTGGAATGTGTGTGTTTTTTTTTTTCTTTTTCTTTCTATCTTTATTTCTACCTTTGTGTTTGTTCCTTCTCTTATTCTTGGGTAGGACCGCCATGAGCGGCAAAGACGGGATGTTGTTAATGTGTATGTTTTTTTTTTTTTTTTTCTATCTTTATTTCTACCTTTGTGTTTGTTCCTTGTCTTGTTCTCGGGGTGGACCGCCATGAGCGGCTATGCATGGGGGGTCTATGACTCTAAAGGGTACGACAAAGACGGGATGCCGTGAATATGTGTGTGTGTGTGTATGTGTTTTCTTTGTATCTTGATTTCTACCTTTGTGCTTGTTCCTTCTCTTGTTCTTGGGGGGGACCGCCATGAGCGGCAATGCATGGGGGGTCTAGGGGGTGTGGCAAAGACGGGATGTCGTGGAATGTGTGTTGATTTGTTTATTATTTTTTTTCTTTCTAGGGGTGTTTTTTTTTTTTTTTTGTCTCTAGGGGTCTTTATGTTTGTTCCTTCTCTTGTTTGTCACTGTGGTTGTTGTGGAACTTGTGTTCGTTCCTGTCATTCTCCATCTTTTATAGGTTGATTCGTCGGTTGTTCAGTAACTTCGGTGCAGTTCTTTGTCGTAGGCGTCGAAGTTCGTTTCAGTTCACCTCTTCTGCGGATTTCATTCGGTCTCCACAACATGTCTGACCCTCGAGGCAATAACGGGAAGGGCCCCGCGGAGTCCTCCTCGGCAACTGGGAAAAGGGCGGAGGGTAGTAGAAAAGGTCAGAAGACGAAGACCTTTGACTCCCCTTTTAAGGTGGATCCAAAGGCGGATGGAAAACGAGATGATCCWGTTTGGCATTTCGTTGCTCGTGGTCGTTATTTAGATGGATCCACTGCGATCGGGAGGAAGAACGGTCGCCGTTGTTTGTGCAGGTTATGCGGTCGTTCTCTATGTGAGGGTGCTCGTGAGGCGAAGGAACACTTTTTTCGTGSCGAGGRGTATAGATGCCAMGTRGCCACTSCGGYGGTGTGGCACGCGATTTGGTCAAAGGATATGTCCAAGTGTCCTGCACATTTGGCTTCTGCCGTGCAGGCCTTGCAGAGTCTCCCTCTAGGTCATCCCTCTTTTCAATGGTCACCTCTTCGTTTTCCCGATGACGTCGTTCCGCCGCCCCCGTCGACCGCTGCCCCCTCGCAAGTGGCGCCATCTCCATGTGCACCACTTGCTCCCCTCCCCCCTCGTCCACTTCGTAAGACGATTCCCGCATCCGTTGATGGCAGACCATCTGTGGCAACGCAGCTTGATGCGCAAGGCACCGTGCCAGTTTCAGGTGTCGGGGAACCTGTGYCGTTCGACGAGCAAGGCACTCGTGCTTTCGTCGAGGGCGGTGGGTGGGGGAAGGACGCTGGCACATCATCAGGCATCGCCCCGTTGTTCACTGGCAACAGGGACAAGGTCCCAAGAGTTCGACGCACAGACACACGTCCGGCCGTGGCAGGAGCACCCGCAACAGGACATCAATCCGCTGC